AGGACCAGGGGGGTGCACCTCCCAGTACGTGGAATGACGCTTGCTGCGCCGTGAGGGGTCTTCATCGTGCTCTTGGTGTTTTCCCCCCGAAACCTGGGATAAAATATTTTGAAACTACTCCTAGTTAATGGATCAGGACACCGAGAGCCACCGATTGATCGACTCCGCTTCCTCAGCGGGTCATTTACACACTGTGTATGGCCTGTGTTACCATTTCTGCAAACTCCGTGGTTTTCGGTGCGGCGTGGCTGCGTGGCAGGAAGTGAGTGGGTGTTGGTCGCTCCGCGGTTACGCAGGGCGCCCACGCCGGCCACGGTCTCCGTGTTCTGTTACTCGGTGAAAGGCCCGGGAGAAAAAGACACTTATTTACGTGTGTTTGACCCGCGCTTACTGGACGGAGGTCAGGGGTGCTGGCGGGTCTTGCTGTGTGTCCCGTGGTTCCCTGGCTGTTCTTGTCCCCATGTCCCTCTGATCCCAGGAGCAGGACCCTTGCCGGGCAGAGTTCCCAGGCCGGTCCCCAGGGCCCCGTCCTCTGTCCTGTGGGAAGAAGGGCGTGGGTGGCGTCGGGTGGCGTGTGCAGCTGAGTTGTGGTTGCTGAAACTGTGTGACACAATATTTAAGACGCTCGACTGTGGAAGCAACACGTCGCACGTGGGTAAAAGCGTCCGGGCTAGACCCACGCTGGAAAACACCGAAGCGTCCAGCCCTCAACGCTGGTCGGAAGGACCTTGTGGCGGTGAAGAGCTGAGAAACGCCGGGTCCAGGGAAGCATGACGGTCTCCACAGGTGATGCCCATGAAGCCGCTCGGGGGTGGGGAGCCGGAAGCTGTGTTTCTGACTCCTTGGAATTCAAGTCTCTCCACTGACTTTATTTCTTTTAAGAATCTCAAGTTTTCTTCTCTGTATCGTTTTAGTCGCTTTGAACTTTTGCCCCTCTGCCCGTTTCCTGCGTGCGCCTGAAGCTGGGTCACGCCTCACTTCCAGGTGATGTCGGGGAGGCCCCCATTTTGAGGAGCGCCAGGTGGGTCCAGCAATCATGTAGGAGTGTCTGCGTTCCCACGGCAACGCTGCCCTGCCTGTCACCGACCCTGGCACAGCCGAGCTCTGGAAGGGACGTCCCAGCGCCCCCGAGGCTGAGTGGCAAGAGAATCCTGTTCATTCGTGGGATCAAATACGTGGCGTCCTCTGTTCGTGGGAATGAGTAATGCCTGTGTGACGCCGAGTAAAAGGGGCAGACATGGGAGGACACTTCGGAAGAGAAGACAGATGTGACCAGGGTCTCACTGAAAGGACGCGAGCCGGGGTTCTGGGCAGAGTGGCATCCATCCCGGGCCCATTTTGTAGCTGAGAAAACCAAGGACAGAAGGGGGGGGCAGATGGCGCGGGCAGGTACCCGCAAATCAGACGTGGGGTTCCAGGCCCTCCGCACATGCTGCCTTCCTCCCTGGTGTCACCGAGGGGGTCGGTGCAGGAGAACGGCCCACGCAGAGCCTGGGGCCCCAGCTGCAGACGCACCGAAGGGACTGGGCACCGCCAGCACAGGGCCCCGGTCGCTGGCTCCCAGAGGCTGCGTCCTGGGCCCTGCTGGACTCTCAGGACCGGCAGCCCGCAGGCTGCTGCTGTGTGCCTGTGTGGGTTTTAACGGAGAGAGACAGACAGAGGGTTGACGGCTTTCAAAATGGACGTAAGCACAGAACCTCCCCGCACAGTGGAGCCCAGGTCAGTCCTAACAGTGAGGGGACCCCGTCGATGGTTAACATGGGGCATTTTTTGTTACGTGTGTCTCACCTCAATAAAAGACATTAAGACAGCCCTGGCCGGTTTGGCTCAGCGGTTGGAGCGTCGGCCTGCGGTCCTGAGAGACCCGGGTTCGGTTCCCAATAAGGGCATGTACCTGGGTTGCAGTTTGTCCCCGGCCCTGGTCGGTCGTGCGGGTGGCGGCCACTCGATGTGTCCCTTTTACATCGATGTTTCTCTCTCTCTCTCTTCCTCTCTCTCCCTCCCACTCTACCTGAACAAAAAATGGAAAAATGTCCTCGGGTGAGGATAAAAAAAAAAAAAAAAGACATTAAGACATAAAGAGTCAAAGGGAGTGAGTTCTTTCCTGCCGCGCACCCATCATTACCGTCTGCGTCTCGTGTTGGAGATGCCGCCTCATGGGCCGCACACACCGTGAGCCCCTAACGCGCGGCCCAGCGTCTGGGCTGGGAGCGTCCCGGCGTGCGGGGTGTGTGTACCGTGAGCCCAGCACCCCGCCGTGGACTCATGTTCATTCCGCCCTGAGGTTTAAAAGCACATCCAGGTCGGTCCTGTTTAGAAAGAAATGGAGGAATTTAAAGCGTGTGCGGGTCACGTACACATTCGGGCCAGGACAGAGCAGGCCATGGAGAAATGATGGTGCACGCAGGTGCATGTGTGTGCATGTGTGTGTGGCGGGGTGACATGCACACACGTGCTGCCTGCGTCCCGTGGCTCGGCTCATGCACCCGGACAGCACCGGGCGTCCTCCAAGGCCCGTGCCTGCAGTGACCTGCGGGCCGTTCTGGGCCCCTGTCCTCAGTGGTGGCCCTTAGCCTCCTGCTCAGGACCAAGGGCAGGCATCTCCCTAAGCACGTAGTCTGGGCTCAAAACCAGCCGACATCCTGTGAGAGCCAGTGCAGTGTGCTGGTGCCGCTTCGAAGGTGCTGCGTGTCCACAGAGCTCCGTGACCTGCGAGAACGCTAGACGGTGGCTGGGGCTGGGGCCGTGCAGGGAGGGACCCTCGTGCCGGCTGCGAGGAGGGCGGGGGCCCGAGTTCAGTGCGGGGGGGGGGGGGGGTGGCGGCGTTGATCTTTGGGAAGTCCTCCTGCAGGTGAAGCGCCTTCGTGAATAAAACCGGAAATGGCGCCGAGGAACCTGGGACAGAGAACCCGAGTCCTGCTCCCCTTGGGGCCTCAGGGAGGCAGCCCCTCAGGTGCCCGGACCTGACAGCGTTGAGGGGCTGCCGGCCGTCAGAGGTGGTGGGGGGAGCAGCGGGCGGGCCACCAGGTGCTGCTCTGAGTTGACTTGGAGTTTGCTGTCGAAGGTCAAGTTCACCAGACCTGTTACCTGGAGACCCTCGGTCAGGAGGGGCCTGGGCGCCGTAACCTCGGCTGCCCGGTGAGGAGCACACGGGGCCCCTGGCCTTCCCGTCACGCTCGCTTTGATACGATCGTCCGTGGTCCCCGCTCCTCATTGCCCCCAGGAGGCAGCCGGCCCCGGGGCGGGCTCCGTGTGATGTCTGTCCCTTTGGAACCTTCTCTCACTCCCTGCCTCCAGCAGAGGTGCTGGGAGTCGGCTGTGACGTTCGATGGTACTTTTGGGGAGCGTGACGCTGGGGGACTTGGCAGGTGCTTTGCCGGCCCCACAGGAGGGCGCTCGGACGGCACAGGCCTCACCGGGGACGCAGCCGTGTGTTTTCAGGAAACGCCAGGTGCCCAGCCCCCACGCTGCTCTGAAAATGTGAAAGTGAAGTTGAACAGTGAGCAGGGTCTGAGCTCATCGAAGCCCAGATGGTCCCTCTCTCTAGTTCCGGGTGGAATGCCCCCTCTATCCCTGGGGCTTCAGGTCCCACCTGCGGCAGACGGGTGTCCCGCCTGCCCTGTTCGCTCTCCGGAGCCCACGGGGGTAGGACTGTGACTCCCTCCGCCGAGTTAGCCCCTCTCCACTTCTGCTGATTACGACACACAGGCAGCTGTTGACGTGGACAGAATCCTTAAACACGCATGTGAGGGGCTCGCTGCCGGCCTGCTGGTTGGACACGAGCCTCTGACCCTGCCCCCGCACTGAGGACAGCCTGGGATCCGGGCGCTTTCCTGAGGGCCCCTTCCGACGGGAGCGGGGTTCCTGAGTCCCAGCTCCAAGTAGGTACTCGGGAGGTGTATACTCCTTGTACACAGAAACCTACATGCCACCAGCGTGTTCGAATCTCCCGAGCAACCTTGTTTAAAAACGGACCGGACTGGGCCTTCTCGGCAGAGAACACCTGATCACCCCGTCCCCGCCCCGACGGCAGAACCAGATAACGTTCTTCCCAGGCCGGAAGAAGGCAGGTGTAAGGGGTGCAGGGACATTTCTTACACTCTCTAAATTTTGACTTCTGGGGTTAAATAAACCCAGGGCACCAGTGCAGGTTTAAGATGGGGTTTTTCTTAAGTCTCGTGCATCTACTTGGGCAGAGTCGAGTCCGACGTCCCAGAAGCGGTATCCCTGGGCTCCGAGGTCGGGCCGCCCACGCCCAGACGTGATCTCACCTGCATCGTCGACCGGGGAGGGACGAGGTTGGGTCCTCCAAGCCCCCCCAGGAGACAGTCTCCGCGGGCCCAGGCGGGGCCCTCCAGGCGTGGAGAGCTGGGGACGTCCAGGTGTCTCCCCGGAAGGGCGGGGATGAGGGGCTTGACTCTCCGCTTTCTTTGTGCCTCTAGGAAACCCTTGGTGTCGAGGTTTTGGACTTGACCACTGACCTTACGAGAGTTCTGGGGACCCTTTCGAGATCGGGCCACGTGGACTGTGGTGGTTTGAGGCAGCCAGGACCCATAGGCAGAGTAGGCGTGTTCCGGCCGTGCCTGGCGTGGCCGCAGTGTATCGGCCTCTCTGAGTTGTCCTTCCCTGAAACGGGCAGGGGTGACCCCGCAGCTCCGCAGGGGACCCGCGAGCCTGCCCTGAGCCCTCGGAGAGCCCCCGAGGTGCGTGCTACAGGGAAGCGTTTCCCTGGTGTCTGGGGGAACCCTCACCCCTCAACCAGGGACTGCGTAGATTCAGGTGTCAGACCACTGCTCCTCTGCAGCCGCGTCAGTCAGTGAGATCCAGGGCCGAGAAGCCCCGCCCCAGACTCAGCACTGCCTGCGCCCTGGGGAGCCCGCCAGCCGCGGGGCCGCTCTGTTTCCGGGGGCGCCCGCCCGCCCGCCCGCGCCCGGTGTGCTGTGTGTCTTGTTCTGTTCTGATGCGAGTTGGTAACCGCACGTTTCACGTTTGATCCTCAGGGGCAAAGCCACACGGCTGCTGCTTTTCCGGAGACGTGGCTGCGACTGTGCTCCCCAATGGAGACCAGAGCCACAGCCTCGGAGATAACCCGGCGGAGCCAGACACCGGCGGGCCCCGCGCGGACACGGCAGCCTCGGGGTCCGCACGCGAGCGCCACAGCAGAGACCCTTCCCGGGCACCGGAGCCGCCTCGGTTCTCTGTGGACTTGAAGATGCCCGCCTGTCACCCCAAGCGGGAGGTCCCCGGCTCCAGGGACACGGCAGACTTCCCTTTGAACGCGGATCAGACTTTTCTGGAAGGAGCACCCCTGCGGCTCTCCTCCGAGAGCCCGGCCAGCCACCCCAAAGAGGAGCCCTGCGATTTGCACAACAAGGAGCATTCCGTGGGGAGCAAAAGGGTGCCGGGCCCTGACCTGACCCCGCTGGACCTCAGTGAGAGGTCGACCCGGGACGACGCCCGCCACAAGGAACTGGCGTCCTCGCTGCGGGCGGCGCTGGCCGTGCACCCCTGCCCCTACTGCAGCCACAAGACCTACTACCCCGAGGTCCTCTGGGTGCACAAGCGCCTCTGGCACCGGGTGAGCTGCAGCGCCATGGCCCCCCGCTGGACGCAGCCCGAAGGCTGCAGGAGCATCAGGAACAACTTGGTTTTCCTTGTCCGGAGCGGACGCACGGGCCCCCCCCCCCGCCCTCGGGGGCAATGAGTGCCAGCCTCTGCCCATCGCCAGGTTCACACGCACCCAGGTTCCGGGGGGGGCGCCGGGGCCCAAGGGCAGCTCCTTGCCCCTGGGTGGGCCGACGAAGGCCGCCGGTGTGTCGAAGAGCAGGGAGGGCCATCCCGGGGGCCCCTGCTCGCTCTGGGCGGCCGGCTCCGAGGGGCCTCGGCAGACCAAACCCGCCCACAGCCCCGAGCCGCACGGAGCCCTGGCCCAGCCGCCCCAGCCAAGGCCCAAGCTGGAGGCTGGCCCCAGACCGGGGCCTGTGGCAGGTGGTGGTTTCAGCAGAAGTGCCACCCCCACAACCACCGTCATTGCCCGTGTGGGCTCCCAGCCCCCCGCCACCAGCAGGCTGGGGGACAAATATGTCAGCCCCCCGGCGGGGGCCGGCCTGGGTCCCCCAAATAAGCACAGTGCCCCGGACCCACTGAAAGCCAAATCGAGCCCTCAGCCTCAGGGTCAGCTGCACGTGAAAGGCGATGGGGGCCCCCCTCTACCTCCCCGAGAGCCCCCCTCCAAGGCCAGCCAGGGCTCCAGAGGGAACACGGCCCCGCAGGCCCAGCCCGTCCCGCAGGCCGTCAAGCCGGAGCCGGTGTCCGAGGGCCACGAGAAGCACCTGGACGTCCTCAGCATCTTTAAGACCTACATTCCGAAGGACCTGGCCACCCTCTACCAGAGCTGGGGCGCCAGCAGCCCTGCCCTGGAGCACAGAGGTAAGCTGTGCTGCACCCCAGCGCCCCCTGCTGCCGGGCTGCGGCCCAGGGGCCCTCTCGTGGCCGTGGGATCCACCCACCTCCTCCACGCGGCCCTGGGGGTGCTGGCCGTGAGGTGGCTTCACCTCGTGTTGTGTCAGACAAGGTTTCGGTAGAGGTTCGTTGTCCCCTGTGCAGTGTTACGTGTACAGTCGTCCCTCGCCACTTTGCGCTTCGTGGCTTCAGTCCAGCGCAGTTTTTTCTTCTGTCGTGTTTTTCAAACACTGTGCTGTATTTTCAAATTACCATGCACTATGTTTGGAAAAACCGCGATAGAGGGAAGCCGCGACGTCGAAGCGCGAAGTGGCAGGGGCGACTGATCGGAAGAACCCTGCTTCGCGGAAAGTCATTAATCGCGGTCGTTTGGGACTGATGAGCCGCGATAAACGAGGACTGACTGTGTACCTGTCTATAATTAATCTGTTTAATGATCTGTCTGTCCGCACAGTGGAGCCTCGGTTCTCGAACTTCACCCCCTCCGGAAAGCCGTTTGGACACTGAAGCGTTTTCCCATTAGAAACAGTGTGAATCGAACAGCCCGTTCCAGGCCCCCAAGCTTCAACCTTTCTTACATACAGTCCCTCTCGTGCTGTTTAATCTGTAAACACTTCCGAAGCCAGAGGACATGGCACGTACATGAAAATTGAACCAAAAGGAGGTGAAATGTACAGTAAAACTTGCCAATTTGATAATCAGCAGCGAGAAATGCCACGAAACACAGAAGTGTCCGCGACACCGTTCCCCGAGGCGCTGGCCATGTGGGGCGCAGCAGTGCTGACCCAGACTCCGCCTCTTCTCCGTGTCCCCCGAGTTGGGCGGCCACGCGGGTGTCAGCGTCACGGGGTTGTGGGGTGGAGGGGCGGACTGTGTGTGTCCCGGGACGCCAGCATGTGGGCCGAGCCTGCACCCTCCGAAGTTTGGGGCTGAATCCCCGTGAGTTCTGGAAACGCCCCCCCCTTACCTGGTGGTTTCCTTGCCCGCCAGTCCCCGGCCGCTCCCAGCAGGTTTCCCGTGCCCCACTGGGCACCGTGCCCTTGATCGGAAGTTGAAGGTCACTCACTGCACGTCATGCACCTGGGAAACCTGAGTGTTTCCCGTGCAGAACAGCCCAGACCACCCAGCCCTGCGGAGCTGTCTCTGCCTTCGCGCCCTGGGCATCCTCGCGGCCCTGGGCGGCAGTGACGTGGTGCACCCGCACTTGGCTAAAGCAGGTCCCCACTTACCGTGACCTTTGGCTTCTGGTCCCTCAATGCCCAGGGCTCTGGAAGCACCTTTGGGGACGGGGTTCAGGGTGGGGGAGGTCGAGCCAGCAGAGAGACACCTCGACTCCGCCCTGAGGGCACCCGAGGGCCAGGTGCAGCTGAATCCTCCTTCCCTGTGCTTTGGAACCTGCCCGCACCCACAGGCAGCTGCCGCCCTGGTTGGACCGGCGCCGCCCCTGGTTCATTGCCCTTCAGGAAAACAGGGTGTTTCTTGGCTAGGAGGACGCTCAGGACTGTCCGGTGTGGCCCTGGCCTGGGCCCTCGGCTCCTGTTCTGAATGAAGGTGCTGAGCTCGGGGGTCTTGCTCACAGCCAGAACTGCCCCTGAATGTTCTGGAAGGAGCTGAGGCCCAGAGGGGTCAAGAGTCTTTGTGCCGAGCGCTTGCAGATGCAGGGAGACCTGTGGGACCTGTGTGAGGCTCTCGCCCCGTCTCCTGGCCGCGTGATTGGTGGGGACACAGCTCCCTGCTGTCGGCGTTCCGGTTCCAGTTATGTTGGTGAGCGGGGCACCGACGGCCCCCACTTCCAACTGTGTGGGGCGTTTGCTGGGACAGACGTGCAGGGCAGAGCGTTGGGCCTGGTGCCTCTGTCCTTCAGAAGGGTTTTCAGGGACTGGAAAGTGGGGCGTTTACTCTGCAGGCAGGTGAGGTCAGCACAGTGACAGACCCACCGTCACCTCGGGAGCCCACCCCTGGTCCGGGGTCCCCCTCGCTGCCCGCAGCCTGCTTGCTGCGTTACTGCCTTCCCCCCAAAGAAGTGCGCTTGAAGTTAAGGTTCTTCAAGAGCTTCATGACAGACATAGCAATACAAAGTATCCGGACATCCTTTCCTTTTGCTTAAAAATTTTAAACAATGATTGGTCCTAAGGCTCTTTTTTTGGATAGGGAGGTTAAATGTATCTTCTTAAGGGGAAAGTGCTCTGCTGTGTGTCAAGCACATTCTCTCCCTGGGTGGTCCCCGCCGGCTCCTTTCCCTCTGGGCGGGGGAGGGGTGCTGCTCAGGGGATGTTCAGCATTCTGGTCCTTCACTGACAAGTGTGGTTGCTGAATCACAACTTCCCCGGCTCAGGGAGGGACTGGGATGAGCTCGTCTTAGTCCCTCGTCGACGGGCCTGTGACTGGCCACGCAGAGTGAGTGACACCCAGCAAGGAGGGGCTGCCACCCCGGGGGGCCCTCTTCTCTGCTGGACTCCATTTGGGTCCTGGTCTCAACCTGGGGGGCGATTGGAACCCGCCGAGCCCTTCCCCGGACGGTGCGCTGTCACGCTCTCCTGGGTCCCCACTCCTGATCTGGGCAGGTTTCCACCTGCCTGCAGGCCCTTCGTTGGCCCCTTTCTCTCGTTCGGACGCTTGTTTGTTTGGGAGGCCGGGTGTGGTCCGAGAGGTCACCCGGGTGTCAGTGTCCTTGCTGGAGACTCTGCAGTTCAAGAGGCAGGTGCGTCGTCACGGACATGGCACTGAACACACTGAACACCAGTCACCACCCCTTCTGAGGTTTGCTTTCCCCTGTGGCCGGCCCCTCCTCCTCTCCCCGTGGCCGCCCCTCCTCCCCCGTGGCCAGCCCCCTCTTCTCCTTGGGGCCGGGCCCCCCTTCCTCTCCCCCATGGCCGCCCCCCCCCGGCCCCGTGGCCGGCCCCCTCCTCCTTGGCCCCGTGGCCAGCTGACCTTTGCACTCTGAATCCGGATGCTCCCCTCCTCCATCTCTCGTCCAAATCGCCTTGTGGACTTGATTCCCCGAGTCTGTCGGCATTTTCTCGTTTTGTCGTCTGACGCGTTCGCTCTGTGTCTCCTCGTGGTCGTCATCTGTGGCGTGAAGGTCGCCCCTTCGTGTGCAGCTGGATGGGAAGAGCTGTGCGGGGAGGGTTCCCCAGAGGAGGTCGTTTCTTCCCTCCTTGTGGCTGGGACGCAGGTGTGGGGCTGCAGGGGGGGTTCTGTGCTGTGTCGTTTGCACGGAGGGTGCTGCTCCCAGGTGTCTGGGAGACGTCAGGTGCTTTCCGAAGTGAAGACAGGTCTCAGACCTGTTCCCACACGTGCTTTGACCGAGAGACGTTTGCGAAGAAATGCGTGGTCTGGAAATTTCTCTGAAAGAGGAAGGAGCTGCGTGGACGGAGCTTGTCCCTTCCCCTGGGCTCGCCGACGAGCCCTGTGGGACGAGAAGCAGGAAGGGTTTTCGCCGTCAGTGCACGGCGTGGAAGGCGAACGTGACGCGCTTCGTTGGGGGACAGGAAGAACGCGGCACGTCGTCTGTGTTCCGGCGTGTGGCCCGCAGTGCACGGTGCCGCGGGCTTCGGAATCAGAAACGAGAGAGAGCAGAGGGGGATGATGCTGGGCGGGTACCGGGTGAGGTCTGTCTCATCGGGACTTAAAAATAATCACTCACACCAGCGACACCGTCACAGGAGGACGTGGAGATTGGACTTCCTTTGTCTGAGTCTTTTCGAACTCTTTGCAGAAGCTTTTCAAGCGTGAGAGCTTGACATGTCCCCGGAAGACTGGCCGGGCCGCCATCCCTCACCTCCGAGCCCGCTTCGTACACCCGCCTTGGGTTTCTGCGTCACAGGCAGAACGGCTGCTCGCCGGGTGGCCTTCAATTCAAACGAGGTTTATAACCTTTTTGATTAGCTCAGAATTTTGCAGTAGCTTGAGCATAATATTATTGACCCAAAAGGGCAAGTGTCTGTTCTTTAAAAAGTAAAGCGAAAATGATGTGGCAGAATGCGTGGGGAAGCGTGTGCGTGTGTGTGTGTGCGTGCGTGTGTGCGCGCGTGCGTGCTGATGCACACCTGATTGAGGCAGGCAGAACGGCGAGGAGAGAGTAGTTGGGACAGGAAGTAGCCCACTATGAGATTTCCTCAGAAGAGGCATCGTGACTCGTGCTTGTAGGTGACGTCAGACACAGTGCCGTGCTGGTGGCACCGTCAGCGGGTGGACGTAGACTGCACTCCATGCCGTCCGATGGTGCCGGGGAAAACCAGACAGCCACGGGGACTGTCAGGCGGTTTCCATGGGAGCCCCTGGGTGGCGGGAAGGACCACGGGGACTGTCAGGCGGTTTCCATGGGAGCCCCTGGGTGGTGGGAAGGACCACGGGGACTGTCAGGCGGTTTCCATGGGAGCCCCTGGGTGGCGGGAAGGACCACGGGGACTGTCAGGCGGTTTCCATGGGCCCCTGGGTGGCGGGAAGGACGGGGACAGAGTGCTTGTCCAGCCGAGAGCTCCCTGGACCCGTATAAAGGAGGAAAGTGTTTCTGAAGGACGCACTTTGCTCTGCACAAAGCTGGCGTGTGGCCCCTCTGGGCTGCAGCCCCTCTGGGGCCCAGGACGCCTCGGTCGGCGGGAGCAGCCCCTGAGCCGTCTCTGCACCCACGCGCTTGGTGAAACCCGGAACGGGGAGCCCTGGTGGCAGCTGACGTTGCCGAGACACGATCTTCACGTTTCGCCATGTGCGGGCACCTTGCCCACATTCGTGCGTGGTTTTCCGTGGGTGACGGGATGAGTGCTGGTTAAAACGTGTCTCGCTCTCTCCGATCCCTGAACCTCGGGCAGGTTCTCCGTGTCTCCGAGGCGCCTTTCGGGACTTGTCCCGTGAGGAGCGAGACGAGTCCTGCCTGGCGTGTGCGCGTGGCCTGGCTTACTCTTCCCCAGACGCCACCTGCGCAGTCACAGTTCTGCCTTGTCGTTATCTGTGAGCCGTCGGAATCGGGGGTCAGGACTCGGGTTCAGCTGATTTGACCGAGGCCCCTCCACACTCAGATGCCAGACCCGGGCCGCAAACAGCTCGCTGAGCGTCACCTGAGCCTCTTCGGGCCGACACCTTCTCGATAGCCGTCTGGTGTCGCTTTCCCGTGGAGTCCAGTCACCGCGGAGCCCAGGGGGCGCTCTCTGCCGCTACGGTTCCGTGGCATCAGCCTTTTCTCTGGAGAGACACCGCAGGCGAGGCACTGGGCCGCCGTGTGGCTGCCTCCTCCTCCGAGCGCACCTGGGCGTCCGTTGGGATCAGAGGGGAGCGAGGCCATTGCTTCGGGCCGGGCTCATTCCCAGGCGTCCCCCGTGGCCCCGTGGGGACAGCACGGGCGCACAGGTCAGGGCCCCGTGGGAGGGCTGTGGGTGGCTGGGCCCGTGCGGCCCGGCATGGGGAGGCCCTGTCCCCGGTCTGGCCACGCGGTGCCACCGACCCTCCTGTGTGTCACTGACAGACGCCGGGAAGGCTGGCGAGGGTCCCGCCGCTCAGCCCCGCACACCTGACAGCCTTCGTGCGGGCTCGTCGCGGGAGAGGCTTCAGTTCCCTGTAATTCCTGCTCGCTGGGGCCTCCTGTGCCTGGCTGTCAGCAGAGCCGGGAGGGGGGCTGACGGTGCCGCCGGGCCCTGAGGTGGCTCCATCAGGGCGCGTCAGACAGACTAATGATGGTTTCCTCTCCCCTCCCCCTTCTGCACCCCTTGGCCACCGCCACCCAGGGACGCTCCGGACGCAGGCCCGCCAAGGAGACTTCGTCTGCGTGGAGTGTGGGAAGTGCTTCCACCAGCCCGGCCAGCTGCGGGCACACATGCGGGCCCACTCAGGTACGCCCGCCCGCCTCCGCCCCCTGCCGTCCTCGTCCTGCCGGGCACCGGCTCCTCGGGGGGTTCCTCCCCTGTGGCCTGGACGCCCAGGCCCCGCGGGGTGAGGGTGACGCGTCCCCTTCAGTGACCACACGCCGGGCCCTCCCAGGCGGCACCACATGGTTTTCCCTCCGCATCAAGTGCCGTGTGGTCTCATCTGACATAAGCCTGTTCGCAAATGTTCCGTTTTAATAAGAGAGCAAGTAGATGCCTCTGAAATGAATATGCAAATGAGCTGTGCCGCCCAGGAGAATCAAAGCCACTTCCGTGACGTGGCTGGGCCCCCTCGGCCCTGTGCTGTGGCCCGGTCCCTTCGGAGACGCCCCGGAGGGTCTCGGACCCCGGCCTCTTAGGAACAGGCTGCCCTGAGCCCGTGTCGGGCCGAGAGCGTGTGACCCACGGGGAGAGGGGGGGCTGGAGGGTCGTTCTCGGAAAGTGTGAAGGGTCACGCGTCAGCCAGTCTGATGCGAAATGACAGGGGCCAACTGGTAAGTGATGCGGGAGGAGGGTCCCTTCCCACAGGCTGCTAACGAGTGTCGTCAGTGACGGCGGCCGCCGCGCGGAGTTAACAAGGGCAGTGGCCCCAGGCAGCCTCGTCGCCGCCTCTCACAGCGAGTGTGGCGGCAGGTGGCACTTTCCCGCCACGGGCACCGTGTCCCTTTTCTGTGAACGTGCTTCATCGGTCATGGCCCTGGCCGCGGGGCGTCTGGGGAGCTCCTGCCCGCCCGCTGACGCGCCCTTGTTCCCACAGTGGTGTTTGAGTCCAACGGCCTCCGAGGTGCTGACGTCCACGCCGCCTCCGCGGACGCCCCCAAACAAGTAGGTCTTCCGACGGGCGTGACGGGAGGATTGGGTGGTAGCAGGTGGTGGGACTGGGAGCCATGGGGCTCTCGCCGGACAGACAGACATCTTCACGGGCTTGGACCGGAGCCCAGGCCTGCAGGACAGCCCAGCCACGGGGACTGGAGACCGGAGGGTCACCCGGCCGCTCTCGGTCCAGTCTGATGGGGTCATGGGGGATGCACGTCCTCGTCCTCGGCGGGCCCTCGAGCCCCCTGGGCGGAGAGCGCGTGGTCTCAGCTCTCTCCCTCCCTCTTGCCCCCACAGAGTGTCCCAGCCCCTCTGGCTCTCCCACAGGCGTGTTCTGTGTAGCAGAGCCCCCTGGCTCTCACTGTGGTCGCTCCCGTGGGTGTGTCGCCACCAGGTAGCCCTCACGCCCCGTTAGGTGGAGAGGCAGCGTCAGGGTGTCCGTCCTGGAAAACGTGACCATCGGAGGGATCGCTCTCCTTGACGAGGAGGGGGTTGGGGTGTCAGGGACCTCAGGCATTTCTCGTGGGCTCACTGAAGAGAAAGGCAAGAGGTGGCGTGACCTCCACGAGGACCTCCTGTGAATGAGTGACCGGCCTGCCCCAGGGCGGACGTTAGCTGGTCAGGACCTTGCTCTTTTACTGCGTTTTTAGAATTCCCTTGCTGCTCGGAGCCTGTCCCCCCCCCCCCCCCCCCGGCGCCGACGAAACACCTTGCTGCTCGTTACTGTGTCTGTACTTCGCTCCCTTAGCAAAACCCCTGGTGTAGAACGTCGGGTAGTTATTTCAGGATGCCGGGACGACGCACGAAATAAAGCCCAGCCGCGGAACGCTGACTTAGAAGACTTCCAAACGCGCGACCTCAGCTCGAAGCGCGACCCTTTCTAAGAGAGGGCATCCCCCGTGACACGTCACTGGTGCGTCTGTGGGACGCGTCTCGGCAAGGTCGTGCCGTGGTTGGGGAAGGACGTACCGAGGTCACACCATGAGGCAGTCCAGGGGCGCCTGGGACGTGGCTTCTCCACGCACGTTGGACGGGCAGGAGCGCCGGGCAGATCCGAGTGGCTCAGCGAGTCTCCGGGAGCACACGCCAGTGTACTTGCCGCGTGTTGATCCTGCGGAAGCCTCTCCATGGTGCCGCGGTCGTGGGAGGAGCAGCTCCGTGCAGCCAGCCACCCAGACCGGGTGAAACCACCTCTGCTGCTTGTCGTGGTGCTGGGAGCGCTGACCGTGCTCCTGGGCCTGGGCCGGGCCAGAGGAGAGTGTTTGTGTCCGTGACCGAGTGTCGCCGGCTCACACTGGTTTCCAGCCAACCTCTCCGTTTCCGTGTGTGGTGACTCTGACACTGGACGGAAGGCCTCGGCGGTCGGCTGTCCTCTTCCGTGTCAGGACAGCGGTCGCTCAACCGGTGACGGGAACGCCGGGCTGGCTGCAGACGCCCCTCCCGACGGGCCGCTCTCTTGCTCAGCGCCTGGCTCGCAGGCACAGCGCCGGGCGGACCTGCTCCATCGTCACGCGCTCCCTGGTTCACCGCGGTGTTTCCACTTCTGTTTCCCTCGACACACTCGGAATCGGATGTCCGCCGGGAGAACGGAGCCAGACGCCGGCGCCAGGCAGAGGTGGAACCTGGTCTTTCTCACGCTGTGGCGCTCGTGGGTCACCGTCACTGCGACTGCGGGGTTCCGTGCAGGGACGCGTGGATTCGGAGACCGTCTCTGGCTGTTTCTGTCCAGGACGGGACTCCGTCCCGCTCGGCCAGGTTGTCTCTCTTTTCCGTGCGCTTTGCCACGTTAACTGATTAGTATTCAAGTCGGATTCTTCTCCTGTTTGCTTCGGAAGCTGTGGCTCGTGGGCTTCGTTTTAAACTTAAATTACACAAAGCTGTGTGTCCCTGCAGAAATTATTTGACGGCCACTGACGCTGATGGGCTGTTACAGGCACACGCTAGGTGCTAGGTTGTGTCGCTGGAACGGTATTTGGGAATCAGTTTTACAATAATCATTTATTCGTTCGTTAATAGCATTTCTTGAGCACCTGGGATGCGCCAGGCTCTGTAATATTGGGGTGGCAGTCGGGATGTTGGGGAGACGAGGTAGATATGTTTCCGGCCTCCATGGTTTTGAAGGTCAGCGGGTGCTGGGACCCGGCGGGGGTCCCGGAACCCAGGCTCTGGACGGCTGTGTGGGGTCCGAGGTGGGACAGGAGCTGGGGGGGCACAGGCCCTGGTTCCTGTGCTTGGTGTGTGTGTTCACCGAGGGCCGGGGGGAGCTGTGGGGACAGTCCCTCCAGTTCTCTGTGTCAGGTGCACATGTCTCTGCCCTGTTTTGACGATAATTCTGCTCACAGAGGCAGCAAGAGGCCCAGCGCCGTTCCGGGGGGAGGAGCAGCCTGCGCCCAGCGTCTCCGAGGGCGCTGTGTCGTGTGTGTGGCACGATTAGTTTCTAGTAATTGTCAATAGTCGTTAGGAAGAACATGTGAAAAATAGGCTGGGACGTGGGCATCCTTGTCCTATGGGTGTAAAAAGAAAAATAACTCGAAGGCTTTTCTTTAGTATTGTGGGGTAATGTTCTTTCCATTATATGGTTGTGAAACATGAGAAATTAAAAAATTTAAAACCCAGAAAAAGTAACCCTCTCTCTCCCCAACCCCCTGGTTTGGGGATTGAAAAGACCAGACGGCTTTTTGCTGAAATACAAAAACTGGAGTTTTGATTTGTTTAGATTCTTGGCCAAAATTTAAAGACTGATTAGTAGTTTATTTCTCATTATTCTAAGTGCCAGTTTTAAACAGTTAAGCTGGAGAAATAATTCCACTCCTCGGAAGAACAGGAAATGAGACGTCAGCAGCAACCAGTCTGTCTGGCTCCTGGCCGTGGCTCATCCCCTTGCGGCCGAGGACCCACGCAGGTCCCGGAGGACTCGGACGTGTGCACCGTCCTGCTGTGTCGCCGTTAGATTCTCAGCTCGGGTCCATCTTCAGAATCCAGCTCCTTTGTCTCGCACTTTTCGTCTTCATTAAACCAAAGGAACATCTTGAAGCACACGATCCGTTTCTCTCTGAGAAGCACGTGCTACCCAAGGTCACGGCTGTCACTGGGGAGTCATCAAGGTGGCCCCCGTGACCCGACCTCCTGCCTCTGGCTTCCCTGCCCGGGCCGTGGTCAGTAAGGTGTCATCAGGGAGCATCACACTCTGTGTCCTCCTGGGGACCTTGTTCTGAAGGCTGACCACCCTCTGGAGGCGGAGGGGTCCCTGTGTGTCGGGGGGACAAGGGCATGCTGTCGGCCGCTCGGGTGAGCACAGACAGGTCCCTCCTTACACAGACAGAGGGAAGAGCAGACCTCGTGAAGTCCAGAAGTCGGTGTCCACCCCTGGAACAGTAGGACGCCGCCGAGGACGCTGCTTCTTCCAGAAACACTGCAAAGCCCAGAGCTCACCCAGCTGCACATCAGAAATGCCAGGTGTTCTTGTTTTCTGAGGACACTTTGAGGAAGAAAAACAAAACAAAACTGTGTGTGTGCTCAGAATACCCTGCGTCCTCTCTGTTCCTGCCTTTGTGATTCCTGCGTCCCGGCTGCCTGTCCCCCTCTGCCCGATCTCTCTGGTGAATTTCATCCGTTTCTTAAAAACCCCGGAGGGCCGCTGGGTTCAGTGGTAAAAGGTCGGTCTCAACGCGTCGGATGTGGAGATGCCAACACCTCCCTCCAGCTGTAAAGAGAAACGGCACCTGTGCCTCTAGGTTTGGGGACTGAATTGAACAACCTTGTTATTCCGGTTACCTGGATTTTGTAGTTTTCCTAAAAAAATAAAATAAAAAGTTTGTGGCACTTCCCGAGCCCTGCAGTGGGAAACACCCGTCCCTCGTGGGTCTCAAGTCTCGCCCTGCCCTGTGTTTTCGGCTCTAAGGATGAGGACTCCCAGGGGATCCTGGCTGTCCCCTGTGTGGTGTACATGGCATGTACACACATCCCATGTGCTCACGCATGTTCTGCGCCCACTTCCTGGAAACCCCAGCAGGTCCGCCCCTACGTAGGGTTCTTGTGTCACGATTGATCAGTTACGGATCATTCTCCAGACGAACAGCTGTCAACCTACTTTGGCCCCCCTGTAGTTACCAGAGGGATGTTCACGGTGAGTCACCCGACGAGGAACAGTGACTCCCACTCTCCTCTGGGCAGACAGAGGCTGTTCCCTCCGTGACTGTGTCCATAGCAAGTGAGAGCAAGTCTTGTTCCCGCGGGTCCCTCCGGGGCGGGACGTGACCAGCCCCTCACGCAGGGACGTGACCAGCCCCTCACGTCTCTGGAGGAGTCCCCCCTCATCCTCACCGTCACCCCTCCGACAGCCGCTGTGCGCACCCTCCCCGCCCCGCACAGTGCCGGGACCATCATCCTGACATGCTCCAGGTGTCGACGGGACCGTCTGTAGCTGTCACGGATGCAGGGCGATTTGGAATAGGTGTCTCCAGAGACTGTTAGCGAGAGAGAAGCACTTAATTTGTTATGTCAGCCAGACCCCCTCTCGCCGTTTCTGGGGCCCCTGTCGGCTTAGCTGGAAAGGGCTAGGATTTTGCAGGAGGCTCTATTGGGTGCGTGTTCATTTCGAGTGGTCAGTTTCCCTTCATCAGCCTTCAGCTGAAGGTGAATAATGCAGCTGAGTCAGGTTAAGCTCACCTGCTGCTCTGTCCCTAGCTTGCAGACTCCGCTGTCCCACAGCAACGCCTCAGATGCCGCCACGCGGGTTCCCGAGAAGCTGTGGGCTCACCTTCATTCTCGTTTGCATCTTGCAATCCACCCGGCTTGGCAAGGCCCCTCTGTGTCTGCTCGTGGTGATTCGTCCTGGAAGTCGGGCACGTTGCTGGGGTTCAGACAGGCTATGTGAGGGTGGTTTCCTTTGCTCCGCCCACAGCCCGCCTGGCTCCAGAGCCCATCCCCCAAGGAGCCTGCGGGGTCCTACAGCCCCGCTTTTCTGAGCCCCCCAGTCTTGCTACGAGGTTGCCTCCCCTCCAGACTGGTGCAGATGCGTTATTTTCTGTTCTCACGGGGGCACTGTCCTTGGAGTCACCGGGGGTGATTGTCTGAAGCTTGGGGGAAGGCGGGAGGGTACCTACCTCTAAAGTAGGTCCAGCTCGTGTGCAGGGGCTACAGCTAACATCGGGGCCTTGGCTACCCGACCGGCACTCCGTGAAGGTCCTTGTGTCCTTGCGTGCTGATAAGAACATTCATAGGAAATAGGCACTCGGAAACCAAAAGGCAGAAATGAGCTTTTCCGTTGTCTCCTCTTTCCCTCCAGGGACGAGACCGTTCTAACCCCGATACCGTCCAGACAGTGCCTCTCCGAAAGGGAACCTAGAGACACGTTTGCAGCGAAGCCCGGTGCCCTGTGACAGCCATCCGCGGTCCCCAGAGACTCCCGTCCGAGACCCGACCACCCGTGTGAGGACACGGAGCCCTGCCCGCCCGACACCTCCGTCCTGGACCTGCTCTGGCTCCGAAGCCGCCGGGCGAGGCCTCTCCGCTCAGACGTTTAGAAGTCGAGGGAGCGGCCCAGCTCTGGACCCCACGCAGATGCCCGTCCGCGCCCCTGTGCTCGCGGACTGCAGTCTCGCCGGGGGGCCCCGTCCCTGCTGCTCAAGACGAGTTGGAGACACTGGAGAAGAGCTTCTCGTGTGCGCGGGACCCAGCGCAGCCGCGTGCGCAGGACTGGCGGCGGCGGTGGGATGTCGGAGGTGGGGCTGAGCTTGACAGTGTTACTACTGCGGCCTCTCCTGTCTTAGTGGGTATTTAAGTTGTGAAGGAGACGGGAAGGAGGTGGCATGCGGTGCTGTGGGAACCAGGCGTGGGGGGGACGGGGGCGGAGGGCCACAGCTGGGTCGCCGCCCCTGGGGAGCCCTTGGCATCCCCATTTTCCCTTTCGTGGCCCCCACGCCTGTGCTCAGCGCATGGGCGGCGGGACACAGCCATGGGGATGTTTCTGTTCTGTTTGGGGAACAAAGCTAGTTGAACACTAAGAAAAGCAGGCTTCTTTGTTTATTCTCAGGACCTTTCGTAACAGGGCTACGTTCTGCAACCTGCTCACCAAGGAAGGGCTGCCCGTCCTGACGAGTAGTCTGGCCACCGTGCCCTCCCTGTCTGGACCCTTTCAGGCACGCAGGGGAGCCCCTGGGCAGACTCAGGGGCCCTGGTCACCTGGAGCTGGTGCTCTGGAACCTTCTGCTCTCTCTCCCTCCCTCCCTCCCTCCCTGCCCCACCCCAGCTGGTAGGTGTGTCTTCTGTGTGGGCCTGGTGTCCTCCATAGAACAAGCACCCTGGTTCCCAGAGCGTGGAGGTCCCCAGGCCCCTGGGTGCGGGCGGGCGGCTCTATATACCTCTTCCTCAGTCACACAAATGCAAATTTTTGGGGTGGGCATTACGGCCCCTGACACAGGATCTTAAACCCTGCAGTGTACGCAGTGAAATCCTATTCCACAGATGCAAATCTTTACTTTTCCTGCTACCATGACACTCGGTGTGATGGTAACATCTCTGCAAGTTCCAGACTTTTGCACATAGGATTTATGCATTAGCGAACGTTACTGCTGCCTTGAACGGAACTGTTCTGTGAAAGTTTTTGCAAAAGCTTTACTAGGTTTTTTTTTAATTGTGAAATTTTGTAAAGGCAGGAAGTGGATGAAAACGAGCATGCTAAATCTATTTTTCAAAAAAGCAATAATTTTACATGTACAAAAATTATCCTTAACCGTGAATACTGGTGAGAGCGACCGTTTACTTCACGCCGCGGTGGGTTAGCGCAGTTTTTGTAGAAATGGCTTCTGATGCAAAGACTTGTTTAAACACACACACACACACACACACACACACCCCCTAAAGTGTGGTTTTCTTGTTCTAATGATTTGTTGAATTATTATTATATTATTATTGTTGTTGTTGTTATTGTTATTAGTTAGTGTTTGGTTCTGGATTCTACTTGTTACTGAATTTAAATTACTTGACGGTTCAGGTTACTTTGCACCAGTTGGAAACAATGCAATGTAACTGGCTATCTTATATACACATATATCCATGTACACACACATATACTCACACGTGTGTGTGTCCCTAATCTTCTGTTGTTTTCCTGCTACTCTTACACCAGAATGTACCAGAATGACCTGCCTGTCGGTGCAACTAGGGGTGTCCTTGTGAGTACGGCCACACAGCTGTCCCTGATGTTCTGTACAGTTGTTCAGCACAGTCGAGATACATTCCTCCGTTCACCGCAGCAACCGCCAGGCCTTTCTGGGGACTTACGTTTGATCATTTCCATAGTCTCCCCAAAGCGATCATTTCTGCATTTTCTGGCTCTTCGTTTCTTGGCTGAACGTGAACGGTGACAGTTTAGGAACACGGGCTTGAGACCCCGTCCTGGTCTGCTTTCTGGGTTTCAGTTATTAGAAGAAATTCTGTACCCGAAGTGGCGCGGAGGCGTCTCGCCCCTTCTCAGTTGGAGAAGCAGCGGGACCCAGCGGGTGTCTTCCCGGGAGACTCCTCTCCTCTCCGGGGGCCTGGTGGGCAGAGGGGTGGTTCCGGGGCCCACGGCCGAGGGCGCACCCGTGGTCGGTGCCCCAGTGCAGATAATCGTGAGCTGTGTAGACTGCAGAAATCAGGTTTTCACTCAATCGAACAGACGGGAGGGGACCTCGAACGCCACCCTCCGAGTGCGCCGTCTCCAGCCCGGCCGTGTTCCTTCCCTCCACTGATCATCAGTATTGTATTGGTTTGTTAACGCCTTTCTGTGGCTCCTGCCCTAGTATTTAATATGATTTGTGTTTTCTTATTTATTTAGCCAATGTGTTTTTATCTGCTTTTCTTCGAATGATGATTTCCGCGTGATCTCTCCTGTAAGTCACCTTCTGACTGTTCCAGACTTCCTACTACCTCTACCGATCTGCTGTTTCCTCGATTCTTCACAGGATTTTACAGTGTTGGCGTCTAATGTGACTTGGACAATAAAGGGTTTGGTTGTCTACATGCAGCTTCTCCGTGTGTGTCCCGGCCCGGCCCGCGGCTCCGGGCACGGCCCTGCCTCTGCTCACGTCTCCTACCCCCCGGCGCATTCAAGTAACACGCACACGATGAGCTTGTAGAATCTTTCAGGTTACTCACTCGCACTCCTTAATCTGAAGAATGAACATTGAAATTGTCTAAGACACCGGTTGCTGGGCATCCCCGGGCGGCACCCACTGTTCAGCCCCTTCCCGCCTGGCTCTGGGCAGCCCTAGAGCAGCCTCCTCCTTGCTCGACACAGGATGATTTTCAGGCCACGTGGGTTTTGACTTTTTGGTATTGGAACATATTAAATGCTTTAAGGGGTCCCCCCCATAGTTATTTATTTTTTGAACCAAGAGAGACACTGGTTTCCTGAGAAGTTGTTTACGGTGACAGCTCTGCAAATGAGCCCGTGGCCACCTGGTCCGAGAAGGAAGGTTGATTTTACCCGTGGGGCCGTCCTGCCACGGGGTCCCTGGTGTCCTGCAAACAGCCACACACAGGCACACGTGCTCGTGGGCTGTCGGGGCAGCGGGCGCGGGTTCACCTCCCGAGGGTGCCGGCTCTGGGCGCGTCCTGTCTTCCACCAAGAGGGAGCGTAGCTCAGAGGACCGGTGTCCTCTGCATCACCGAGGTGACAGCAGCCCTCTGTCCCCGAACCTCCTGCGTTCTCATGACCCACATTCCTTCTGGAAATCAATCACCCCCGCCCCGAGAGGTGCCAGGAATGTACGCAGGAGAGGGACGCGCCTTTGTGCCGCTGACCTCCCCCTCCGGGCGTCCACCTGTCGGGCGCACACGCGCTGTCTCGCTGCGTCTAGCTTCCGAGTTCTCACTGCAGAACATTCAACTCACTGAGCAAAGACAGGAAACAGTGACAGGCAGGCTTCAGGGGACGGTCCCCGCCCACGCCGAGCCCCGGGGCCTGTGCGCGGGGACGGGCAGAACGTCATTCTTCATCCCTCTTGCTAATTATACTTTGAGGCAGTAAAATGCAAAAGACCATAGAATTTGTATTTCTTTTTTAAAATACAATTTATAACATTATATTTTGTACTCTTTATATTAGAATTTGTAACTAGATTGATGTATTTAACTCTATTTCTGAAAAAAAGAAAATCCATGTTTCAGTTGTGTGATAAAATATTTAGATAAAACATATTCATTCTATTGGAATTTGAAATCAATAAAAACATCTTGGAGTTCTTGAGATTTGTTAGACCTTTTTCCCCTACTGTAGGGGGGGCTGAAACCCTTGGACAGCCTGTCGTGGTCTGTGGGTTTTTATTTTTGGGGGCTGAATGCCAGCCAGAGGGACAGGGGTCTTCATGTCACCAGCTGCGTTGTTAGGAGGGTCACAAGACAGTCCGTGGAGAAGGATGCCAGGACCCTTTGGTCAGGTCGTCTGTGGGCTCCCCGATAACACACTTAAAAAATGCTTTCTGGAGGGTGACTGTGTGTCTCTGTCCCTGGCACCTCTCTCGTTCCTCACACCGAGCCCACAGCTGCCACGCTGAGTCCGACGAGAACTGTCGAAACCTGGGGACACACGGGCCGGGCTGTGGTTTCCACAGGTCCCTGATTTGATAGCAGAGCGGGGCTGGAGGCCTCAGGTGAGCGGATAGAATTTGAACTGAAATAGATACAATGTATTTAAAAGGTGTTACTGTGTCTCAGCTGGCAGAAGAAAGAAGGGACCAGGTAGGTACTTCATGTGGCTCCGGGGAGGAAGCTGGAGGGCTGGGTGCCCCCCTCTGCGCTGCGCTGGCCAGTGCACTGAGCTCACCCTCCACCCTCCACGGTGTGGCGTTGTCCGAAGGCCTGTCGCTTGCATGGACCACAGAACCAGACATCGTGGGGCGTGAGGCTGCTGCTCCGTGGATTGGGAACCTCTCTCGGGTGGTGCTGATTCTAATGAAGTGGAGACACCAGTCCTTCCCTGAATGCTGAGCGCACCCATGAGACAACAGGAACCCCTGGCCCACCTCTGCACCTGCCGTGGGTGTTCCTCTCGGGGGACGTGGGCCTGTGTGCTCGTGTTCAAACCCCAGACACCGTCCCCAGTCCTTGGGTCCGACAAGGACGTGCCCGCCCTTCCTCTGAGGGTGCAGTTTCCTTCTCTGCCACCCGCCGGTCCCCTTGTGGCACGTGGTGCTCCGCGTGGGCCTGGGCCCCCTGGCTGTTGGGAGTCAGGAGGAAGACGTGATGAGTGTTCCCTGGGTCTGATCTGTCACGGACAGGGCTGGACGCCGGCTCGGGGCCAGGCTGTGGCCCTGCACACCGACCACAGGCCTGGCCGGGAGCCGCCCGCAGACAGCCCCGCCCCCTCCTGTCCGGCTGGGTTTCTCCTGTTCCGATTCCCGCTTCCCCGCTAACCTGCTAAAGGCGGGTCTGCTCCAGAGGTGAGCAAGGTATGGAGAGCAAACGTGACGGGCTCTGTCCATCCACTTCTTACATTCATTGGTTGATTCTTGGATGTGCCCCCTGACCAGGGATCAAACCCGCAACGTTGGCCAACCCGGCCAGGGCTGTTGCGGCTTTAAAGGTGAGGGGACCTCGCTGGATCTGCAGCAGGTTTGCTAATGTTCAGGTCGCACCAACCGTCCCCGTCTGACTGGCTCACCCTCCCCTGCCACATTGTGTTTGACGGACTCGCGTGGGAAGAGGACGCACCAGGACGTGCCCCGGAGCGGAGGGGGTCCTTCGCAGGGATAAAGGCTCCGTCCAGGGCAGGGGGCGCCGTGGGCACCTGTGGGTCCTGCCACGAGATAGAGCCGCCGCAGCGTCTGGACACTGCGCAGAACAGGCCCCACCTTCGGCTCGACGCAGAGCTACGCGAGGACCAGGCCCAGCATCGGGGGAGGGGGGGGCTGCCCGCTGGACAGAAACCCTGCCCCCGGGGAGGTCAACAGAAGCGCGATGCTCATTTCGGAGGAAATCAGGCGCAGGGGCGAGCGTACCCGGACGGAAAGGGGACCCGGTGGGACCTGCCGTACTCTCCCAGCGGGGAAGGAGGCAGAGCAGGTCCAGTTCAGGGGGCACAGGCCGTAGGGAAGTGGCTGAGGAGGGGTCGAGTCCGCTGGGGGAGAGCTCAGGGACCATCACCCCAGGGCCCACATGTCACCAAGACCAGG